TCATTCACTGCTGGTGGGAATGGAAACTAGTGCAGCCTCTATGGAAAACAGTAGCGAGATTCCTCAAAAAATTAAAAATAGAAATACCTTATGATCCAGCTATCCCACTACTAGGTATCTATCCAAAGAACCTGAAATCAACAATCCAAAGAGGCTTATGCACCCCTCTGTTCATTGCAGCATTATTCACTACAGCCAAGAAGTGCAAGCAATCCAAGTGTCCGTCGACAGATGATGGAATAAAGAAGATGTGGGGGGCCAGCCCTGGGGCTTAGCGGTTAAGTGCACGCGCTCCGCTACTGGCGGCCCGGGTTGGGATCCCGGGCGCGCACCGACGCACTGCTTCTCCGGCCATGCTGAGGCCGCGTCCCACATACAGCAACTAGAAGGATGTGCAACTATGACATACAACTATCTGCTGGAGCTTTGGTGGAAAAAAAGAGGAGGACTGGCAGTGGATGTTAGCTCAGAGCCAGTCTTACTCAGCCAAAAGAGGAGGATTAGCATGGATGTTAGCTCAGGGCTGATCTTCCTCACCAAAAAAAAAAAAGAAGATGTAATATATACATACAATGGAATACTACTCAGCCAGAAAAAAAAGACAAAAATAGTCCCATTTGCAACAACATGGATGGACCTGGCAGGTATCATGCTAAGTGAAATAAGCCAGACAGAGAAAGACAAACACCATATGATTTCACTCATATGTGGAAGATAAACTAAACACACAGAGAGAACAGTTTGGTGGTTACCAGGGGGAAGAGGGTTAGGAGTGGGCAGAAGGGGTGAAGGGACGCATTTATATGGCGACTGACAAACAATAATGTATAACTAAAATTTCACAATGTTATCAACTATTATGACACCAACAACAAAAAAAATGTAAATCCAATTATGTCTCCCTCTCTCTCAGGTAAACTCACTCCCTAGTGCACACACATCCTACTAAATAAACCCTTTAAAAGCCTTTTAGAAAATCAAACTCTTAACCAGGACTTCAGGGCTCCTCACTCTATGTCTCCACCTATTTCTCCAACCGTATCTGACAGCACACTCCCCGGCTTCTCACCAAGCTCCTGGGCTTTTCTAGTCCTTGACAGTGCGAAAGTCTTCACAGCACTTGGCGCTCTCCTTAACCTGGAAAGCACTGTCCCATCACCTTGCAGGTTTCAAGGTAAAAATCACTTCCCTATCCCAAACTAAAGTATTCTCCTGTTATTCTTTCAGAGAAACCCAATTGTTTTTCTTTGTAGGACTCCTCACAGTTTGTAATCTATATATTTATTGGTATATCTGTCTATTGTCAATCTAGCCAAGCGACTGTAAACTCCTGAGGGCAGAGATTCTGCTGTTTTCTTCACTCGTGTAAACCGGCCTCTGCTGCAGTATCTAGCACAAAGCGGGTCCTCAAACACCCGGTGAATGGATGAAAGGAGGACACGTGAGTAATACTGCAAGAGAGATTTTTTCATTCTGTGATCTAAGGTCGGCTTGTAGATGCTACATACTGAGTGCTTATTATGTGCCAAAGATCCCTAATCCTTCCAACTCTGCATTGCAATAGACGTTATTTGGCCAATTTTATAGATGAGGCAACTGAGTTTCTCAGGAAAAACCTGCCAGAATTCCTACCCAGGTGGACGGACTCCAAAGCCTGTGCACTGCCCTACAACGTAGCCTTTCCCAGCACTTCAATGGGGCCTGTGCTTCTTCCTATTATCATTTAAGTGGCAGGCAAGCTTATAAATTTAAGACTACAAAGCAAAACTATACCCAAAACCCATCCTCACTGATGGGAGATCCAGTAAGAGAATTCAGTGTAACCTGATGGCTTTCCCTCTGAATTCAGATGGCTGAAATTAGCTGCCTTTAAAATATCATGACACCATGTTAAAATGCATCTTGCTACAAACACTATTTGGGAGATAAAAACTACAAAATGAAATCTGAAAGCTGCCAATAATAAATAATGCTAATGGTTTTCCAATATGCATTCATTGGCAATATACAGCCTGTACCAGGATAATTTTCTTACACAAATTCCCTTCTCTACCTCTTATCTACAGTTAAAAGTAAATGGTATACTTAATATTAACTGTATATAAATGCACTTCCACAATCGTTTTCTGACAGGTAAAGACCAATCCACTTTATTATTATTTAAAACAAACAGACCCTTCCATCTTAAGAACATCCCACACATTTTAAGCAGGACTGTTTTAAAGGAAAGGAGTCTCTTAAACTGACTTTAGTATTTAATTCAGTAGAATATCCACTCCAATTTCCTAATATTGGAAATTAGAGAATTAAAAACTGTATATTAAAAGCATTTGGTATTAAAAGCATTTGTAAAAGGTTATTTTCTCAGTGCTAAGAAGCGCTGGCAGAAGTCTTAGGCAAAATACATGCCCTTTCGCCCGAGTTAGCTGAGCACTCCGGTCGCTACAGTTTGGAAGCAGGGAGCCCAGTGGCCAGGATTTCAAAGACCAGATATCGGGATTCTCCAGTAGCGGAGGGCGAAGAGGGCCCGGCAGCTGTGGCGACCCGAGGCCCAGACGGGCCCGCTCAGGCCGAAGCCCACTCGCCGCGACCCGGACGCTTTCGCCACACTCGACCAGGGGGCCGGGGACGGGCCATGGGGCCTTGCCACGTGAGCCACCCGACGCCACGGACCGCCGCACTCACCTCGGCGCCAGCGGAGCCAGCGCTCCGGAGCGCAGGTGGCGCCGGACGGCGAGCCCAGGGACG